CAAGAATTGACAAAAAACAGAGCAGGTGGATGAGAAAACCAAGCTCAAAGATGGGTCTACCAGTTTTTAACCACGTGATATTCAACCTGATGAGTATGGAATACCCACCTCCAGGGTACAGGGAGGGTTCATGAAATACTTTAAACACCTCAGGCCTAAGAACCACTCAGTAAATAAAAAGTTCATTGATCTCTTCCTTCATCTAGACGGTGAAGAATAATTGATTCTGAGATCTGCCAAGAAAGTCTGACTTCTCTTTTGTTGGGTTCCTGCTGTACGAAAATAAGGATGCCTTTGATACATAAAATATTCCCACCCCAAAATGTGAGCACTTTGCCCGTAGGATTTCTCATTCTTGCCAAATCTGGTAGAATCCCCCTGCTTAATCAGATTTCTAAATGTGGAAGGAAACACCTGAAAAATTGGGTGAGGTCCAACCAGTTCTTTCTCCTCCTCTGGGCTTCCTGGATCTCTCAGAGAAAATAGGAATTTGCCGGGCAGCTGCATGCGGTTTGGTTGTGGAGGAAAAACAGTTGATAGCTCTGAGAGTCTTGAAGTGGCACCCCTGGACCAATAGCAGTACCTGAGAAGTAGTTAGAAATGCAAATTACAGGGTCCTACCTTAGGCCTTCTGAATTAGAAACCTGTGTTTTAACAAGCCTTCCAGATGATTCTGACGCAAGCTAATGTTTGAGATCCACCACGCTAAATAAAGCGCTTTGCACACTTTTTGCTTTATTAGCACATTTTTTAAAAGCACCCTTTTCTCCCATATGCAGAGTCGTTGATTCTCCCAGGCAGGAACGCTGTCAAACACGCAGCTCCTTCTGACAAGCCCAGTCTTTCCAGCTGGGCGAGGCCGTGCTTTGTAGGCTGTGTTTGCACACTGACTAACGCTCTTACGATCTCTCCGACACAGGCCGAAGTTACTGCCAAACCTCCCTGTTGGGGAGTAACACCTTAAATAAAGGCCTTCAGCTATTTTATTTCCATAAGCCAGTTTATTGTGTTCAAAATGCTTTTGTTCAGGGGAAATGTATCTACTGNTGTAGGCTGTGTTTGCACACTGACTAACGCTCTTACGATCTCTCCGACACAGGCCGAAGTTGCTGCCAAACCTCCCTGTTGGGGAGTAACACCTTAAATAAAGGCCTTCAGCTATTTTATTTCCATAAGCCAGTTTATTGTGTTCAAAATGCTTTTGTTCAGGGGAAATGTATCTACTGTTACTTCACCTGGAGTAGAATTGCAGGACACCTTTACCTGGGCTGGTCGAAATGTAGTAAAATTGCTAAACATTCAACAGAACTGCTTTTGAAGAAATATGCTCAGGACACACAGAAGAAAAATAAAGTTATCGGCATCCTGGGTAACATCTTGGTAGTAATCATCCCTTGACATAATTCTTTTGGATATGCTATTTACTCCTACAAACAAACAAGTGAAACATGTTTGGGCTAAAATGAGCAATCTGCAGGGTTTTTGGGGTAGTGCCAAATTTAATTTTTGTAGTGCCAGAAAGTCTACTCAATATTTCCCTTTTACCATTGGTTCACGTGGGGTTTGTTTTGAGCTATACAACGGTTTTGTTGTGGAGGATGCCAGAGGAAAGTGCACGCGGCATTCCCGTATCCAGCCAGAGACAGCCTGGGAATTCAGGAGAGCTGTTTCTCCCTCACTCCCATCCATCTGCCAATCCCCTTTTCTTAATGAAAAGCTTGGAAAGCCCAGCTCCTAAACACAGGGAGGAGACGCGCGGCATTCCCGTATCCAGCCAGAGACAGCCTGGGAATTCAGGAGAGCTGTTTCTCCCTCATTCCCATCCATCTGCCAATCCCCTTTTCTTAATGAAAAGCTTGGAAAGCCCAGCTCCTAAACACAGGGAGGAGACGCAGAAGTCAGCATTAGAGAGATTACTTTTTCACCTGGACTTGAACAGGTTTTAAAAGGATTGGAAGTCATGAAGGACTAACTCATTCCTCTTCCTCAGAGCAAGCCAGATCACCTGCCATGTGATATGGGGTGATTTGACAGGTTATTAATTAGTGTGAACTCATTTTTTTTAATAATGGGGCATCTCGCTAAGTTTTTAAGACATTCATCAAATTATTGGTTTCCTTGTGATAAAATATTTTAGCACTTTCTGTATATGAGGAATTATTGGAATACTAGTAGAAAGGACACATTTTCAATGGTGATTATACGGCATGAATTATAAAAGGTAACACAGGATGTCCAGGAAAGATAGAGCTGTGTTCTGAAAGAGTCGTCATGGCCCTCATTGACTTAAGAATTCAGTCTTTAGCATGGACCTCAGCATACCAAGGTATCTATTTACTCCTAAATATGTCTAGAGTTCTCTCTCACTGCTGGCTGCACCTTTGCCCAGTCAGGTCATGTTGGGATTTCCTTTATCCTCTAGTCCTCAAACATGTTGAACTTCTTCAATCCAATCTCCGGGTGTGGACCCTGCCAAGATGGCATAATCAGGGAATTTGGAATTGAGAAGAGCTAGTCTGTCTAGGATAGACTTTTGGGGTGGGGGGGCAGCTGGTCAGTACAGGGATCCGAACCCTTGACTTTGGTGTTATCACCACCATGCTCTAAGTGAGCTAACTGGCCAGCCCTAGGATAGAGTGTTAAACTGAAGCTGTGTAAACTCAAGTGCTGTGGGAAACCTTAAGCTTTGAGAAGGTGAGAACAGATCTGCAGAGAGAGAATAGCACAGAGGTAAGAGGACACTGAGGTCACAGAGATGAGAAATCCAGTACCAGTCACCTTCCAGTGGTAGGCTCCATGTCCTAATGAGGCTCTACTGTACTGCTGGGCTTCTTAAAACACCCCACCTTTATAACAATTTGCCATTTTTTTTCCCTGAAATCATCCTAGCTTTCATAGCATTATATTCCTTGTAACCTATTTTTCTTGCTTAGACTGAAGTAGGTGGCTCCCAGGGTTTGGTGTCATTCTACAAGCCAACCATGTTACTACCCATCTTGAAATAGAAGAAAGGTCAGGAAGCATCTGGATTGTTGTATTTGAAGTAGGCCAGGCTGGATAATGTAATGATTATGTATTCATGTTATTTATTGTAATTGAGGGCCACATGCTTTGCCTACACTCTCATTTAGTCACAATCTTATGATGAGATTCTGAGCAGAGATGTAACGTGGTGGGAAATGACAGAATGATGGGGGTTCAGATCCTGCTGGCCATGCTGTAGAAGGTACAGGAAGATTCCAACCTGGGTCAGCCTTGGTCAGGATCAGAGAGGGCTTGGTTCAAAGTGCCAGTTCAGAAGGGCTCTCAGGATGAATGCCCCAGGAGGTGGAGAGAGGGATGCAAGCAACGAGAGGCAATTGAGAGGAGGGTCAGTGGAGCTCATGTTAGACTGCATTATCGAGCATCCACAGCGATTCATTTCATATGAATCATTTTCATTTCAAATTAGCAGTTGTCCCTCATGTTCTATAACTATAATGGAAGTTGTGAGAATGACAAAGTGATGTTGGAACAAGCAATATTTTGACTTCGGAGGCAAAGCCATTCCCCAAGGCAGGGACAGACTGGGCCTGCTTCTTTATACAGGGCCTCTCCTGAGGAGAGAATGGTGTGCCAGTCTCTGGTGGGCAAACAGCCAGCCTCTAATCCCAAACTAACTTATAATCTGGGCTTTTATTTCTTCTCAGAGAGTGCTGACAATCTATGGGCTGCCTTCAAAACCTGGAGCCATTTACCCATCCCGGGGTGTGGCTCCCTGCCAGGTGCCTCTAGGGAGGGGTCCTTCCAAAAGCCAGCTAGTCTAGGACAAGTACTCTGTTTATAGTTACCTTTGGGATTTGATTAAGAGGATGATAGGCACATGATGGTGAATGATTGCCACCATTAGTTATGAAAATAAAGATGGCTTTCACATTTTTTAAGGCCTTGTCATCACAAAGCTTTTTCCCCTCTTTTCTAACTGTATGACTTAATTTCTGGAGATCAAAGTAGACAGAGCTTTCGTAACTCTTTACCCCAGCATTCCCAGAACATGTGCTCATATTCAAGGCTCCCTAAATGCAAAGGGTTTAGATCAAGTTTGTGGAGTGTTGGGAATATGATGAATTTGGAGTCCCCAGTCTTGCACCTTTTTGGCTCATCAAATAAGAGCTGGTCATGATGCTAAGTAAGAGATACTTGAAAGTATTTTCCATGACATCATCTGAGCTTGTGGGATTTTTTTTTTCACCTCACTTATATAATAGCATACCTTCTGTTTTGATCAGTTTTTTCTTTCCTTAGTTTTACATGTGGCTGGATGGTAAAATGTTTGTTTTCTTTACTCAGGCAAAATTAAATGCTTGCTGCCTTCCCCAGTTGTTGATAGGGTTGAATGAACCTCAGAAACTGCCCTAATATGTCCTAACAGTCATAAACAGGAACGCTCTAGGATGTGCAAAAATCCTCATGTTAATGACAATTTTTAATTACACGCTCTGCATCCCAGATTCAGTGAGTCTCTTTCTGATGGATGTCAGCTGCTGCCTGTCTTACAAATGGCTCAAAACCTGGAGGGCTTTTAATGTAGGTGGAGGCTGAGGTACCCAGGAGTTTGCCGAGTGCCAAAGCCTGGCTTCAACTCCATTGCCGAGGCAGGTGCTGACATATCCCTTTGGCTGGGGAGGCGTGTTACATGCTGGAGACAGAGAAAATGGTAAAGCCAGCTCTCGGGGGAGTCTGCCGAGAAAGCTGTACCCTCCGGGTTCACCAGCATGTTTGCCGACTTCTTTTTTTCTAGGAAAGGTTGTGGGCTTTATTTTTCCCTCGCAGAGAGAGGGAAAGCCCTAAGATATGGGTGATTTGCTTGACTCTTTAAGGATGCATTTCTCTGCATGCAGGAAGAAACTCCTCTGCTGTTGAGTTTCATGAAGGGTGGGGGCAGCGGAAGTCAGTTGTGGTATCATCTCCGCTGTAAGAGGGAGTAATGGATGAGTGATCTTTGTGCCTTCTGTCCTCAGGTTCACCAGTACTATAGCTGTCTCCCAGAAGAGAAAGTTCCTTATGTCAACAGTCCTGGAGAGAAACTGCGAATCAAGCAGCTACTACACCAGCTGCCACCACATGACAATGAGGTAAGAGGCTAGAGGGGGCTTATGAAGACTTTTAGAACCTTCTGTGAATTGTTGCTGTTTCCATCATCAGAAAGTTGTGATCAATGAGTTTGACCAAAAAAAAAAAAAAAACCCTCTGGCAATTTATTTCAGGTTTTAGCTTCCTTAATTGGAACTGAAAGAAACTGGCCAACACCTTTTACAGAGTGTTACCGAAAAAGCAAAATCTTGTTATGGACTGGATTAGCCTCCATGCCTGGCACTACTAGCTATTTAGGGAAAACCGGGGAGCACTAAAATTTAAAAGTTCATGTCCAGCTTTTCTTAGTTGAAGAAGAATGTTCCACACTGGTTGCCTGTGCATGTTGGAGAAATGATTGAGATTCCCTGAACCAGTTCAAACCCTGCAAAAACTTGGTGACTCTCTTGAATTTTCAGCTTCATTTCATATTAAATGAGCATGCAAGTTTTCCATGTTACACTGTGGTAGAAATTACGTGTCCAGATTTGCAGCTCTGAACATCTGTGTTTTGGTCATGGTGAAGTCTAGTTTGCCAGGGGTCTGACTTGCATTCGTATTCTAGAAAGTATGGCTTGCAGATTGTCCTTTTTTCTGAACCCAGATACATGGGTTCAGAAATGCCCAGATACTGTAAATGGGCATTTCTTATCCTCGAAATCCAATTGATCATAAAGGGAAATTTGTAAACATGCTTTTAAAAGACCATCATGCTGGGACGGATTAGGTTTATAAGCTACAAATTAATTTTTAGGTATCTGGTTTTAAAAAAGAGTAATCCTACAGAATTGAACTGTCTACTTAACTCTGCATTTGAAACAAAAATGTAATTTTAAATTGAAAGGAGAAATAACCCCTTTAGAGATCTGGATACCAGCTTTCTACCAACTTGCCTCCAGCCGGATGCTGGATCTCAACCACTAGATCCCATGAGAAATAAGTGAGTGCTTTTTAGTCTTATCTCCCCACATTCAAATAAAAGGGGATAATTTGAGAACCTCAAAAGTAAATTTGAATAAGCCAAACAAAAGCTTGAAGATTGAAGCAACTCCTTAGAAAGAGTTGTGATTCTCTTTCTTGCTGCTTAATACTTCATAGAACACATATAAACAAAATATAAACAATGCTTTCTCCTTTAAAGCCAAGAGCAGGCATTGTAACCTGATGCCCAGTTAACTAATTTGGAAGTGAAAATGCTAGTTTTTACAAGCAGGAGGGGTGTGCCTTTCTTTAAAAGCATGTCCATAAAATGTCGGTGGCGTAACCATAGTTCTGGGCTGCTCAGGTCACTGCAGTTCTCTCTGTGGGACATGCATGTGAAGATTTTTTTTAAAACTCTTTTTACTTGATAAAGAGAAGTTATTGACCCATCTCTGCCTTTAGCAGTTTATTTTGTTTATGGGTAACTATGCTTTTGTGAAAAGAGACACCATTCAAATTATAACTTCCTGCTGGTGAGAATCTCGCACATGTGACCCAGTGGTCAGATTTAGCTCATTTGACATGGCCCTTTTGAGGACAAAGGGTGATTCTAAAGTAAGTGTTTGATCATTTTCTTTTTCACTGAGATAAGACAATTTTGATCTACAAAGCTGCACTAGTTTTCAGATTAGGATACAGCAGTTCTAGTTCAAAGGCTTTCCTTTAACCATACGTATGACAAATCATCTGAGCAATTCAGTTAACCTTTCTGATGCCCAAATTACTCCAGAGTAAGACAGGAGATGGAGTTAGGACATGTGTGGATGTGAACATGGCAGTAAATAAAATCGAACTGCGTACTAAGAGAGTTATTCCCTCTTAAATTGTGTTTTATTCCTGTGATGGAGTGGTTGAATAATCAAGGAAGAAATTTCAGTTTGGTGCTAGCAGGTGTCTCACACCTCTCTGACTCATGCTGGTCTCCACTTTTAAGTAGGAGCATCAGGGATCTCCATTTCTGGATCTTTCAGGCAATGTGGCCGGCTAATCTAACAACACGGTTTTGTTCTCACTTGATTTAGCTTTATGGTCACCGTCTGTTTTTTGCAGGCAATATTGGTTTTCCATTTGTAGTCATAATATACTTTCTTTGTAAACAAATGTATTCAAGTTAAAAAAAAAAAAAAAAGGGAGTCAGTTTTAAACACATAATGAAGTAAATAATAGTTTAAGAGTATGGCACAGTTCCCAAGGTGTGCGTTAACTAAGGGGAGAGAAATTCTGGATTTGAATGTCTTTAATGTCCATCCCTTAATTCTTTGAGTTTTTTGTTTAACAAGAAGGAAAATGTCTTTTGCGAGTTGGTGCACTTAACCAAAGCCCAGGAGAAGCTCTTTTCCTCCTGCACGCAGATAAACTCGCAGGGACTGCCATGCAGCACCTCAGAGGCCTCTGGACCAACTCCTGGGGCTCAAGCCTTTGTTTTCCCATTTTGCCAAAATAAGATGGGAGAAGAGAAGCTGTGAGAAAGCACCCTGACACCTGTTCTGGCTTGCTGACCTAGAGTCGTTCTTTGGTGTTAAGGATCATTTACGTGGGCACAGGGAGATGAAAGTATCAGGTCCCTACAGTCAGTTTGGAAGAAGGAAAAAGCCCCAGATCTTCACTAGCACCAGATGATCTGGACCTTAGTGTGGTGAGCAGAGAGAGGTGATACAGGAGAAGGAGCAGCTGCAGAGCCTTTAGCCTGCCCAAGGCTAGGGCTCCGAAGTTTGGAGACTTTAGTAAACTCTTTTGGCTGTCAACTATCGCAGTAGAGATGCCTTAAGTAGCTCAAAGGCCTGTGTTGTTAAAGTTCAGGAAAGGGCTATAAAACTAAATGGGAGTGTGTTCATGGGACAGTCTGAGGCATGGGGCTCCAGGCATCTCAGGAAGCGAGGGTGACGTCCTCCATGCCATTCTCTATCTATTCAGGTTCGATATTGCAACTCCCTGGACGAGGAAGAGAAGAGAGAGTTGAAGCTGTTCAGCAACCAAAGGAAACGTGAGAACTTGGGCCGAGGCAATGTCAGGCCCTTCCCAGTCACGATGACAGGAGCTATTTGTGAACAGGTGAGTATGGATTCAGGGCAGTAGAGAGGCATTGTTCTGGCATCCTTTCACTCATTCGCTCAACAATTACTGAGTGCTGACTGTGTGCCGAGCACAGTTCTAGGCCTTGGAGATACAGCAGTGAACAAAAGACATAAAAGCTTAATCTCTCCCCTCTCAAAAGCTGTGTTCTTGGGGAAGAAGTTAGACCATAAGTTGAATCAAGAAAATAGAAAAATACAGCAGGGAAGGGGACTAGGGAGTACTGGGAGTGTGGGGAGGCTGCCATTTTAAGTAAGGTGGCAGGGAAGACCCCACTTAGAAAGTGGCCACTGAGCAAAGATGTGCAAGAGGAAGTGAGTCATGCAGACCTTGGGTTGGAGAGGACAGCAAGCTCAGAGGCCCTGAGGCAGGAGGATATCTGTATTGGAGCAACAGGGGTTTGACCAGTGTGGCTGGGGCAGAGGCAGTGAAGGGAGGGATTAGCAGATAAAGTCAGAGTTCATAGCCAGCTCGTAGTGGGCCATGTAAACCATTGGAAGGACTGAGCAGAGGAGCTGCATGATGGATCAATATTTTAGAATTTCTTTAGAATATGGAATTAGCTTAGGCCTTTGGTCAGTCTCTCTCCCAGGATTGTCCACAGACCAGTGCTGTTTAAAGGGGTGATAAATGATCTTCTGCTGGGGTTTGAGAGTTCTGTATCAATATGAAGTCCACAGCATTCTCCCTAGGACCTCACTGAGTTGAAGAGTCTGGATTTGTTTTTTCTCCTGCTCTCCTGTAGAGTGCTCAGGGCATGGTGGAGGAGGGTTTTAAAGAAAGCAGGGTGGGAATCCAGCCTGCCTGGGTTCACTCTGCCCCACCTCTTAGCTGTCAGAAGCTTTCCGGTGCTGATCATCATTTTTGGCACCTCTGTAAGCCCTGCTGCTTTTTGTACAGCTTCGTCTAACTCCTTAAGCTCTGGATAGACCCATCCCAGTGCTGAGGATAGAGAAGAGGAAGGGGAATACTGCCTGAGGGGAGCAGGTGCCATTTGGGGCCCTGTTTTTTAGATTTGAGAAGGCAGAGTTGAGAAGGTTCAGGTAGATGGGATGAAGAAGCCACCTGAACAGAGATTTGGCAGTGGGGTCTTCATTCTTGAAAAGCATCTCAGACCCACCCTTGAGGTGCAGGTGGCCGGTGGTTATGATGTGAGAATCATTGTTCTCTGTTCAGGGCCTTCACCACTCTCAGAGCAGTCTCCTGGGATTAGGCAAGGTGACCTCACCCGAGAGGGAAGGAAGGTTGGGCATTTTGTGGGCAGTTGCCAGGAACAGTATAGAATAGTGCCAAGAGCATGCAGGCAGAAGGACCTTTCATAAGCTTACTCATGTTTCTGCCAGACAACCTTGACTATGTTGCTTTTTCTTGGTTTGGTCATCTACAATATAGGGATAACAAACCTTACGATGATAGTTAAACCTTACGGTGATAGGATTATGTATGTACACTTTAGCTCTACTGATATGATCATGGAAGGTAGGGATCGTACTTTCTGTACCATGATGTCTTTCTTTCGTCTGGTCACACATATGTATGAGCTCCCAGATACTATTCTATGAGGAATTCACTTCATTTTCTATGATGCATTTCAACCCGTAGCATGTCCACAGTGTGGGAAAGGTTTGGAGGTAGCTTCTCTACCTTTTAGATATTGGCCCCAGAGCTCAGCCACTAATGTGGGACCATGATACTAGACTCAAGCTGTGTACTTCATAGCCAATGCCATGGTCAACAGAGAGCATCTCTGTGGACCCACTACTTCACACTTTACTCCTCTCTGAAATGCCCTCCAACTGTATTCGTTTTATCCCAATCCCAGCTGTAAGTGTGGGTCATCAGTGATTCTGCCTTGATCCTTCCTTGATAGGGGAGGAAACTTTGGAAAATGAACGAGAAGGTAGGGAAGGGATATGGAAAAAACCCTTTCCATAGCCTGGCCTTAGAAGTGGTGATGTTTCAATCAAGACAGTGTAAAAATGTGGTAAGGAAGCAGGCTGTTTGCAT